GGGGGGGGGGGGACTAGATGATATAGCCACAGCTAGTAGTGCCGGCTCGACCGGTAGTACCTGATATAACATGTCATATCCGACTGGTTTTTATGGATATATATTGAAGAATACGCCCATACATGAGCTAAGACACTTGATATGATAATATGGGCCAAGCCCAACTTAGGCCAAACCCAATTTGGACTATAAGGTACACTCCCCCTATAAAAGGGGGGGCTAAGGTACTTATTTCCTACATTCTCTACTCATTCCCTTACTACACTTCCTTTCTCTTTCCCTACTCTCTCTCTATGCATTAGCATATGAATCCAGTACCGACTTAAGCATCGGAAGGCCAATTAATGATTTTTTTTATTTTGGTTTACAAAAGATATTCGGATCAATTTGTTTGATATAATATTGGATTATTGGTAGGAAAATCGGTTTCATTTCCAGGAGTACCTAATGATTCTTTTCAATTTTTCTTACTGAAATTTAGAATTAGATTTAAAATAAATAATGGGTGAAATCCCTAAAAAATTCTACTTTTTTTTTTCTACTTTAAATTTCTTTAATAAATAAGATCCTTTAATTTTGTAAAAATATGTTAACCAATAACTAATAGAGAAATGCTATAGGTACATAACATTTTACGTAGAGGTGTGCATAACACAAACATTAAGTGGGTCCTACTGAAAATAAAAAATCAAGTGGACCCCACTCCATGTGAATGTTATGTACACCTCTATGTACATTTATTATGTACTGTAGTATTTCTCTAACTAATATATGCAATTTTGGAGAAATTCGATCATCTATGTAGTACTTTACGTGTCAAATAATCAAATCAATAATGTTGTACATAAGAAAGTGTTTAATAACATATAAATTTCATATTCATGAAATTTTTATTGACATGAGACAATTCAAATACAAAAATATCTTTTAAAAAATAAATAGATAATAAATGCTCCCATGCATCGTACTAGTTCAACATAAAATGGTTTTAAAATATTTCTAAATTTCTACTTGCAAAAAATTTAAACTGTAAAATCGGGATAAAATTGATTTATAATCGCAAATAATTCACATAATAACGCCGTATTGCTACTTTCAGCTATACATCCATCGGGTTTCATGTGACAT